AGTCAGTCGAAGAGTTGCTGTTTGGTTCCTTGTCTTCTAGCTTGCTATTCCGATTATAAATGTATTCATAACATAACCAGAATTCAGGCTTGAAACTGCATTAATTTCAGTAAATAACGAGTGAGCCAATAACGCAAAACAGGCACACGTCACTAAATATTTAGCTCGGATGGCTAATATGAGCCGGATGTATATTATTAGTGGTGCTCACCGTTTAGATCACTGTGTGCGTCTAGTCTTCCTTGGCTCACTTCAGCCTATTCATCATAGCAGATTGGTTAATTTGCAAGTATCGATATCAGGGCAAACGATTTACCAAAATGCGTCTTGTCAAATTAATACGCGTATTTAAAAGCCGGTATCGCTGGCTATGAAAAATACTTTCACTGTGTTGTTAGCACTAGAAGGCAGAAATTACTACCTAAACACAGTATGAAAGACGATGTTAACAGAATTTAATCGACAGCAGCTCATGTGTTTGCAGAAATAGGTATATCTTAACCCCAAATGAAGACTTCAAATGCAACCACTGCGGATTGGCTAAACCGCTAAGCCACAGTCAACCTAATATTTAAAAGACCATGAAGAAATTGCAAGCAGAAAACCACGTTTTAGAACAATGTCAACACTAACAAGAAATGATTTACTTCAGTTAATATACAATATCAGAACGGTTTGATGTCTGCTCTTATGCACAGTTTGTGATGAGAACTGCTGGGCAGTAGCATCTAATAACAAAAATTTCCCGTTTTCAATCTTATTGCTTCCATGGGCACATCGCTTCTGCATCGTGGCGTGCAGGTTGTCACCAAATGGCACATTTGTCCTGTTCAGGCAACAGAAAGCTGACATTATAACTAAGCCACAAATTAGGGCTGCTTCTAATAGTAACCCTACAGGTTGACGCGCTGTAATTTCCATGTGGCTCTCTGCCGTTTCTTTTAACGGAGAACTAGGCGGTTTTGACAGTCTTCCCACTGTGAGTGAGGAGCACCGTTGCTTTAGAAGTGTTCATAAAAGTGTTCCAAAATATGCTTCATTTGAGCAGTGCCATATAATGCAGCTCGCTTCCTTCAATCCTGTCGTTTTATAAAGCATCGGATCAATGGAAAGCACTAATGTTTATCGCTGCAAATTTTCATGCATGCCAAAGTTAGGCGGATGAATAGGGATTTGAGAATATCGTACAGAAGCATCTTAAATTATCTGTTTTAAACAAGTAAAGACAATATTTATGCCAGTGGTTAGCATTGGATAAGTTGTTGTCCAGGGGCATAAAACATGAATGACTAATGTCAGTTATTAGCATTCAACTTCTGAATTATATTATGTTTAAGGTAATGTAATAGCTCCAAATAATAAGCAAACACATATTGTTGTAATACGCAAACAGAATTTTTGCATGTTTTATATCATCTAATTTTAGTGGATTTTAACGCAAAGTCATTGTTTTCAATGAATGAAAGCTTTCGACAGAAACGTTCAACTTTAGATGCATCGTTTTTGGTGAAACTATTTTCTTGAGAAACAGTGCATGCACCACCAATGTTGTTTCACAAATGCTGGGCAAGTATTGCTTTTTTGGATTCACAATCACTTTCTTCAATACAAATCTGATCAGTGGAAAAATATCAATTAGTGTGGTCTCCCAACATGGAAAAGAGAGTGAAGAGTATTCATTATGCTATCTAGTCAACAGTTTAAATATTGCTAAAGCCTCAAATAAGCACCCGGAATTGTACTATTAATGCTTCACAGATTTTATTTGCAAGGCCTGGTCATACCCTTGCAGCTGGTCATCGGCGTTTGGTAAACACGCTTTGCTTAAGAATAAGAGACTCTCGCATTCCTACGCCTACTGCATTCATTAAATAGGCAATGAGAAAGAACCGAAGCATACACTAGATAGTAAGCAGACAATGTTTGTCCTGATTTTGCATCCGTAATCATAGGCTGCATGAGAAAATATCCTAATTGAAGGTAAATACCGTTTGGGTCACGGTAAAATGCAGTGATTAAAGGCATTTGATCAAACTTACAGTACGTGATAACTGCATAAAGTTGTAGCTGACTTATGAAAAACACGGAAATGTCAAGGGCACGGAGCAAATTACTGTCTGAAGGCAGTTCCAGGAGATCAATCTAGGTTTTTGATTAATTTAAGCAGAAACTAGACTAGAATGAAGAATTTAAAGGTCACCAGCAAGATCAGCTAATTGAATTATATTCACCCACGTTTCATTTAAGCCGAATGAAAGATCAATATATTCAACATCAGTTTAGTAGCACATTTGTTTCGCCGCCTTTTTTCAACTACCTAACCGTCCAGGAAGCGTCTCGTCATATCATCAGTTACATTTGACATGTAAGTAAATTTCCAAGCGGCGTCGTTTCGAGTCAAGCTCAAAATATAATCGTAGCAATCAGACAGTGTTAGAAACGATTGTGTGCATAAAATGGGCAGTGCTTATTGCCTGGACATCTCTTGCAATCAAGTATCAAGACGTGCAGTAACTTATGATGACCAGGCTGAACCTGGTAAATTATAGGAAGCCTTCATATCTCGATGATTCTAGGTAGCCTCACAAGACTCCTCTGATTTTGACAAAATGTGTGATTTGCTGCAAACAAATTAGCACCTCACGACAAGTTCGCCTCCCCCCTCTGTTAAAATAACAGCGCGACTAAATCGTCGATTTCGGGATTAGCGCTAGTTCTGTGAATGTCAGCTCACTGAACATTGATCGGTTAACCGTTGCGGGAAGGTGCGAACCCGAGTATAAGTCATGTCAATAAGTGCCTGCTGATTAGGGCTCACGATTTGCCGTGGTCTTGCCGGTATATATAAACCGTCACTCAACGTTCACCGCATTTGATGTGGATTTGTAACATGGCTAATTGGAATTGGTTCAGGACGGAGAATACTGGCGTTGGCGCAAGAAGGTGTTTTGAGGAAGGACTGGGGAGTGACGAGAAAGGGGATGGGGAGCTTTTCGAACATATTGTCAATAAGATTCTGGAGGAGAGTCCAGATGTGCTGCACCATTTGGTCATGTAAGTATCCGGATGTTGTGATTTTACAAATTTGTCTAGGAACCCTCCAACACATCAACACATACTTAGTGGCAGTTTCACTGCAGCGCAAAATTGGGCATCAGCTCTGCAGTTGTTACCACAGCGAAAACAGCCGCTGATGAGGAGTGCACCAGGAGTTCGCAATGCACACGGCGACCGTTACAACGTCCTATATAAGTCAGCCCTG